AAAAAAAAAAAAAGATCAAAGGAAAATTGTTCATTTGATCGACTATGGTTTATCTTTTAAGTACAGTGACATTTATGTAATTTACCAATGACGTCATTTTTCTTCGGATCTTTCTCTTTGGCAATTGTATCACCAGTTCCTGACTCCTTCGGTTCTTGCGACTCGCCCTCTTCCTCATCTCCTTCTCCTCCTTCTTCTTCATCCTCCTCTTCCTCATCTCCGTCTTCGATCTCTTCGCTGCTTATTATAGACTTTTGCTCCGACTGAAGTGTCATCGCGGACTCCTCGATTTGACGTAGCAAAGCGAGTGGATCGATCTTCGAAGGCGTTACTTTCGGCTTGATTTTCTTGGGCCTTCTTCTCTTCTTTTCCTTCGAAATTCTTTCCGTTTTTCCTATAATTTCCGATCGTCGTCGAAGTTACGATAATAAAGTTTCTGCCTCATGAAACGTCGCCTCAGTATGATTAAGGGTAGCGAAATTTCAAAACATCCGCTGATAAAGATTGTAAATAACAATGATGCATGCTTCGTGTTTCGATTAAGCTCGGAAAAACGTAACAAAATCTGATCAATTGTGCATGACATAGGTTAAAGTATAATATTGCGAACTCTCAGAAGAATAGAGTGAAATGTTAAAAAAAAAAAATACAATTTATTGAAAATAATAATTATCAATAGAAACGTGACAAAATTCGGCAAAACTGTGCATGACAAATTTGTTTGAAGTAAGCTAAGAATACAATTTATTATAAAACTGAACTATCGAAAGAGTGAAATAATAAAATTCACCAAATTACGTGTAATAAAATTACTTGACAAATTAAATTAGATCGAATTCAATAATTGAGGTACTAATTTATTTAAAAAGTGAAGAAACTGTCAGAAAGATGGAATGTAACAAAATCTCTCAAATGAAATCAATTGGGATATTAAAAAATATCTATTAATCTGCTTGAAAAAGACAAAATCTATCAAACTGTGCACTATAAGATCACTCGAAGCTGGAAGATAACAAAATCTGTCAAATCGTGCATAATGAATACACTTAGCAAGTGTCAAAGGTCGAATTCACCAATGATTCTTCCAGTCAACTTACGACTTTTCCCTTTCATCGCCAATGTCGTTAACGCGGCCAATTTACTGACACTGTGCTTGCCTATCATCCATTAACAATAACAAACCAGTTTCACATCGTTCTAATTAATACAGTAATCTATATGATTCGTGTTCTCTGTAATTGCTTCGAGAGAGACAAACTACTTACTTTCCCAGACCGGGACCTCTTCGTGAGTGATCTCAGTGAAATAGGTGCAGTAGAAAAAGATCACCTTTCTCTCGAGATCGGTCACACCGTATAGATCCAGTATCAAAAAGTTCAATACCTTATCCTCGTAGTATCGATCGTTCGCCTGTAGTTTCGAATCAGATGTTCAATTTCTCATTCACGATGAAATGTGAAGTGTAACGGGCGAAAAAATAAATAAAAAAAATTGTGAAACATCGCATTTTAGGAGAAAAGGTGCCAATACTGCAGTTCCTTCTGATAAATACTACAGTTATGAACGATTAAAGTACAAAATTTGAAGCAAAAGGTAGGAAATTGTAGGAAGAAGTTTCGTAATAGTAAAAATTTGTTTCATTACAGTGAAAACAATAGCAAGAATAGAAAATGTTTATATATAAATATAAATAAATATTTCAGTCATAAGAAGACATTTTATTATAGTAAAAATATGAAAGAAAGTTTATAATGCAATATTTTATAAATAATGCAATTATATTTTATAAATAAGTACAAATAAATATTTTAATAATGGAAGGAAATTTTATGATGGTAAAAGTAGAAGAAAATTTGTAACCCAATAAATATTTTAGTAATAGAAAAATAATTTTATAATAGTACAAATTTAATAATACTAAGAATATGTAAAAAGATGCAATAAATATTTTAACAATAGGAAACAATTTTATAACAATAAAAACAGAAGAAAGTTTATAACGCAATAAATATGTTAGTAATACAAAAGGAATTTCATGACAATAAAAAATCGAATAATGACAAAAATAGGAATTTTTTGAGAAAAATTTATAACATTGTGAAGGAACAATTTTATAAAGAAAATATGAATAAAAAAATTGAAGTGGCTAATTCTACTTTCCCATATATTTCAAACAAATGCAACAAAAGTTTATACCTCAATGATCGCGTACTTGCTTTTAAACGAGAGCTTATTATTAGAAGTATATTTTACTGTTAAGAATGGTAGAAACATCTAAAAGTTGTTCGATTACTTTACATTTAGAAGTTTGTAGAAGAGGAGCTCATGGCCTTTTATGCCCAAAAATTTCACCACTTTGTCCCGTATCCACATCAACCTATCGAGATTAATTATTTGTTTCATGCTTGCACACAAAGTGAGAAAAGATTGATAGTTTTCAATCTTTGCCAGAGTGTGTCGATACAATATATTTATTAACTCTGCACACTCTGTATACGTTTATTATTTATAGAAAAATTGATTTCATTACCGATAATCCATGTGTATCACAGAATGTCTACTTGCTAGAGCAACGTCGTCCAATTCGTCGTCGGCATCTTCGTCTTCGAGTTCTTCAATTCTTAGAATTTCGCTTTCCGACTCGGCCATATTTAATCTTCAATCAAGTTTTCGTAATCGTGTCCTTTCAAAGAATATTCAACAGTTTTGATAAAAATGTTTCAACACTTTGTGCGAAATATTTACAATATGTTTCTAATATTTTATTATAGTCGTTCCGATTCAAAACGATAATCGTTTGATTGCTTAAACGTTTGGTAAGATTCGTGAATTCTTTTCAAAGAGATTCGAGCAGCTTAACCTAGCACTTTACACTGTGAATCGATTAAACGCGTACGAATTACGAGAGTTGATACATCGACGTTGTCATGACGAATAAACAGAGTCTTGCGAATAGAAAAAAGATAAAGAAAATTCTGCAATATTTACCTCGTTCCGATCACGTGCGATTAATTACGAACGCGAAAAATTAATTCGGAATTTGTGAATTTTTAGAATTTTGAACGTTCTATTAGCGAATTTTAAACGTCCATGATTCAAAGGTTTGAAATTCCTTAATTTTTTTAATTTTCGCATTTTTTTTTCTCTTGAATTTTTTTCTCTTGAATTTCTAAAAATTTCAAAGTGATGTACCTAATTTTTAAATCTTTGAATTTCTTCACGTATAAACTTCAGATTTCTATTTTCAATCTTCAAAGATTCTTTCAATTTTTAAATCGATGTCGTAGATATTAGAAATAAATTTGATTTTTTATTTATTCTTCTTGATAAAGACTAGTAACAGTATTAAATGATATTAGATTAATATTAAAATACTTCAATTGCTAACATTGAACCTTAACATTATTAGATTATTTTAAAGAATATTTAACTAAATTCCAAAATTGAGTAATAAGTTGAGAAATAAATTGTTACGATCTCTAATTGCTCCAATGGAACACCAACTGTGAGTTAAATCTGTCATATTTCCAATCTTTTTTTCTTACATGTACCGTCTCAAAATTTTTTTTTTAATTAAAAATCTTTTTTAAAGAATTTTAAAATCTTGATTTTTTAATACCTAAATTTTCATCGTCCATTACCGAGTTTTTTAGAAAGATTTGAAAAAAATAATAAGTGACAAAGGAGCTCTTTTCTCACAACGAAAGGATATATTTAAAAATCATTAAAGTGTCGGGTTACATTAAAGTACAGTTTAATAATTGCATAATCACTATTATTTCTTGCACACTCGTACATACATTAACGCATACATTTATGAATCTACGTATTACATATAGCTTTCATTATCGAAACCCTGTTCCTTGTCATTGGTAAGTTATCAAGTTAGTATGTATTATATATAAAACGTACTCTTTATCGAATAGTAACGATATTCTTTCTAAAGGCCAACAATAGCTCTTAACAACGATAACATAATTATCATTTTACATCTGTTACGCAAGTAGCTGTGTCCTGAA